AGACCCCCCCCCCCGCCCAGCCAAGGCAGCCCTCCCCAGCGAGGACACAGCTGCCTGTGGGCCCACATCTGCCAAAGGGCCCCGGCCTGGCAGGGCAGTTTCACGTTGCCCGGGAGCAGAGCCAGTTTTGCAGGAGGGCTGCGCCGAGGGCCTACCTCCGCCGGCAGCCGGGACAGGAATGCAGCTCTCCCTCTGGTCAAGCCGGTCCCCAGGCTGAGCTTTCAAGCCGCAGCCCTAGAGGAGGGCGTGGGTCCCGCGGGGGATGTGCTACAGCTCAGAGGCAGGCCCAAAGTTAAGAAACTTCCTTGTTTCCTGGTAAGTTAGTTGCTGCCACATTCTTGCCTTGCTTCACAAAACACACGCGGCCTTGACATTCCCAACGCCTCCCACAGGGGCCGGGAACCCTGCAGCCCAGCATCCCCTGGAGGGAGAGATTCCCAGCACCACTAGCTCTGGGAGACCAAGCAGCCCCATTGCCAGGACCCATGCACTGGATCCGGTTCCTCTCAGACAACCAGACTCCTGGTTCATGTCTAAACGGGGAAAAAACCCTCAACGGTGCAAGGCACAAGCCCTCCCCCAGCCTGGAATCTATCCCCATCTGCAACTCTCTCCCACCTTTCCCAAGCCCAGGAGTGGGCAAGATCCGGCCTGCCAAGCTGTTTGATCTGGCCCATGGTCACCACCCTCCGGGAGCCAGGAGTCATTCTCGGCTCAAAGTGGCTGGCAGCTCTTTCTTCCCCTCCGCCCCTTCCTGCCTGAGGCCCCGCCCCTTCCAGGGGTTCAGCCCATGCCCACCTTCCAAAATTCATGAAGCGCCCCCCCCAAAAAATTATTGCCCACCCCTGCCAAAACCATCACCCTCCTTCTGCCTCCCACTGCACGTTTTGGGGACTTTCTTTAACCCACTACACGTGGGTAATTTGCACTTGCAGGGATAGTGGCAGGCACACACAAATTAGGCGCCAATCACTAATTAGGCAGCTCCCCAGCTGGCACGGGTAAGGGTTCCAAGTGCTACGACCGCGCTCGGGCCACAGGTCGGATGCTACGTGATGGATGGAGGAGCCTTCTCACCAGACAGCCTGGTCCATCCATGCCTTGCGTCTGGCCAAAAGCCGCTGGCGTTGGGACACCCCGATCCAGGCGGGCGATTGCTAACGCTTGGGCACGGGCATAGGACTTGCCAGCAGCTGCGCGTTTTGCTTACAGCGTTGCACATTCCCGTTTATAAACCAGCCATTTGCGGGTTTGCGCTTCCGGCAGGTGCTGGCCTGTTTCTCCCCAGCTCCCTCGCTCTGCGCGCGTCCCCATTGCAGAGCTGGCAGGAGAGCCAGGGTAGGTCCACCCTGCAATGGGGGAGCGTCCCGCAGTGGGCGGCGGTGAAATAGCAGCGTGGCCGCAGCATGAGGGAGGTGCCGCAGAATGTACCGGGGGGGCTAGCGCATGGCACCCCCTTGTTGTTCAGACACACTGCTATGGCCAGACGACACGCCTGCCGTTCCGCCCGCCGCCAATAGCCCAGAGCCATCCAAGCCAGCAGGAGTTTTGCCAACGACTTCAGTAGGTCCCGAATTTCACGCCCAAGGGACAGTATTTCGGGCTACCAGTTTGAACCCTCACTGCCAGCAGGGGGCCAGGCTGAGGGTGGATTCGGAGACGACCAGCTGTCCATAGGAACTAGGCCGCAATGCAGCGATGGGCCACCCAGGCTAGCGAGCCAGCCGCACAAGCAGCATCCGCCATCTCAGGGCGCTGCAAGATGTTGCACCCAACCCAGTGTCCCGGGCGAGGGCGGTTTTACTCCCTGCGCTGGCGTACCTAAAACGTGTGGGCGGTGCCGACTGAACCGTAGCGGCGCTGTGATTGGACGCAGAGGGAGCGCACAGCCAATCAGCACACACCTCACTTCACACCTCCTTGCTTTACATGCGCGTCACTTTAGTAATACAGGTGGAACCTCCCTAGTCCCAACCAGAGAATACAGGTGCCGAACCAGAGAGTCTGCCAGGAGGTCAGTATTGTCTGGCAGCATGACCAGCCCTGCCACTGCTTGCTGGGCTCTGAGAAGACACTGAGGGGTAAATCACAGCACAGCCCAACTTTATGGGACCGCGGGAAACTTGGCCACACCCACGATAAGTGGACAACTAAAGTCATGCCGGACCACGGGTGCTGCTGGACCAGAGAGCGCCAGACTAAAGAAGTAGAAAAAAACAACTGTGGATGGAAAACCAGTGGAATCTGGCAACCCTGCGCACAGGCATGGGTAACAAAAGGTCTCACGGGCCACACCTAGAACTCCGGCAGACTCCAGGTTGCCCCCTGTCACCATGTCACCCGGTGGTGACAGTCACCTGACGGTACCAACGCCCAGTCACAAGCAGCAAAAGGCTCCCTTCCTGCCATCTCATTCCTCTCTTCCCGCCAGCCCCGCCCCCGCAACACCCACTGTGTCCTGATTCCAGCGTCTCGGCGAGTCCCAGCGACACAACCGGCTACAATCGAGAGATTTTCCTCGCTGGATGCCAGCTAAAGCAAAGTTTGCAACCAGGTCATGGCTCGGGCGGGGGAGAGGGACCTGCATGTCACAAATCCATGGGGGATCCTAGCTCCTTCTCTGGAAGAAGAGACGCCTGCACAAACTCTTCCCAGCCGCAGAGCTGTGGGTCAAGCGGAGGCCTGGCTCCCTGTTGCAGAGTCGCTATGTCCCTGGGGGAGGCGCATGGACGCTGTCAGCCCTGTGTGCGGATATTTATTTCCCTTCCTGCACGATCCTAGTTGCAAGCGCTTTAGACGGGGGTAACGGCCTTCGCGCGGGGGCGGCACGGTACAAAGCAGCACAGCTCCCTGTGTGAACAGGGCCCCGTGCACTCCGGTGTCGCTACAGAAGCGAAGCTGGTGGCGCAAGCAGCGAACCCACCCTGCGGTGGGAGTTTTCGTGGCCCTGTTATTACCAGATGCTATCAGGCCAGTGGCAGCGCCTCCTTAAGCAAGAGGCCTCAGAGAAAAACAGCCCCGCTGTTTCCTTCCCCATTTCAGTCTTTCACTTCCTCAACCCTGGCCCAACCACTGCCGGAATGGCCAGAGCGGCCCTGCGGCCCCTGCTGCCCAGGCCCCCCGGCCGGGGGGGGGGGAGTCTTCAGCGAGGAACATGCAGTTTGGGACCTGTGAGCGGTGGGCTTTGCTCAGACCCCACGACCCAGAGAGGAGCCTTCCCTTGGCCCCCCAGTGCCAATGATCCTGGGACAGGCAGGCAGCCTGCCATTCTCTTCTTTGGTTTTGAGTGACTGTCAGCAATGTATCCCAAGGAAGCAGGATCTTCCTTTTCTGACATGTCAAACATCTGAAACCACTCACACAATGTTTCCTGTTAATAATATTTTAACACAGTGGTCTCTTGCATTTTAAAAGAATCTGGGGCAGCTCTTCTTTTCAGGATTCTTTCTGACATTGTCTATTTCTTCCAGATTTAATTGTGCCGTATTTTACTTTCTGTTGTTTCCATACATAAGGCCATCATATTAATGTTTTTTTCTGATAGGAAATAATTGTATTAGTTATTCTGAAAGTAAGTCTCTGCTAGGTGTAGAATCTTTGTTTCAGGGCGTGTCTACACTGCACCATAGGTCGAAATAAGATACTCAGTTTGAGCTATGCAAATTGTGTAGATTATTGCGAGTTAATTTCAAAATAACTTATTTTGAAATTTGGCACTGTCTACACAGCACTCATTTTGAAATAAATTGCTATTCTGAAATGTCCCTTACTCCTTGAGGAATGAGGTTTACAGGGACATTGGAACAGCAAATCCATTATATTTCAAAATAACAGGCAAGCTCAAAAGACATGGAATAGCTATTTTGGGATACTACCAGTATCCGAAAATAGCATTGCAGTGTAGATGTTGCCTCAATGAATTTAGTCTGACTAAACTTGGGCAACACAGGATTAAGTTCTGCCAGTTTTCACAACCTCACAGATTGACAATCGTCTTTTTGCCTTTTCATCTTTCTTTGAGCACTACATTCCTTTGACCTGCACTTTAACAATGCTTCTGGCTACAGCGTCAGCAGGGAAATTAATTTAAAAACAGTGATGCATTATATTGGTTTATACACTTTTCAAATAATTTCCCACTTATCATCCTCCCCTTGCTAATACCTTTGGCCCAATGTGTGTAAAAAGAAAAATTCAAGGTGCTGTTTTATTTTTCTGGTGGATCCCTCAAGAAACTGCAGAGATCCCCCATTTCCCTGCTAATATCCTTTTATCTCCTAGAGAGGCTCTCAACATAATTTTCCAAGGATTTGGTTACATTCCCAGATTGAGACATGGCATTTTTGAAAGAGCCTATGAAACATTTGTTCTCCTTATGTATCAGATTTCTGTCCACCATGATCACATGACTAGTCCCAGGTCTGATCACATCAGGAGAAAGTTATTATTAAGATCATCTGTAATAGCCAAAGTAACCTAGCTTAGTATCTTGTGTGGCCAATTTCCCTACCTATGTAAAATGCTCCTTCATTTGGTACAATATACACAAGTGCCGACCCTATGGGTCCTCTGTGGCTGGAGCAACTATTAAAAAAATTATGGATGCTCAGTGCTCACTGGCAGCCCCCCAATCAGATTCTTCCTCTCACCCCCAGCAACTCCTGCTTGCTGGTTCATTTGGCATGCAGGAGGTGCTGGAGGGGAGGGTGATATAATTCACACAGATTTTATTGATTTATCTATTGATTATAATGAATTAATGGGGTAAGAATAAATAAGAATAAGTGTGGATGTGGTATGATTGTGGAGTGGACAGAAGAGGCTGAAGGCAAAGAGGCAAAATATCAGGAGACCCAATTGGAGTGACTGTTCGTGTGACTGTTTGTGTGATACCCAGTCTTATGCAGCAGTTTCAGAGGAAAGTTTTATACAGCAGTTTCTCAGTGAATCATCAACAGAGCTACTGATTAGAAGTGTATAAGGGTCCTTCCTGCCAGGGCATCAGTGGAGACAAATCAACAGAGAAGCTGAGGAAGCACGTACATGGCCAGATCTCCAGCCTCTTCCAGCAACTATCGGGGCTCAGGACCTGTCCCCAGTGGCACAGCATGGCAGGGGCAGAGCGGGGGTGGTGGGTAGCATAGGCAAGGGAAGGCAAACGGACTATGCTCCCCACTGGGGTGTCCCCAGTGGCACAGCATGGCAGGGGCAGAGCGGGGGTGGTGGGTAGCATAGGCAAGGGAAGGCAAACGGACTATGCTCCCCACTGGGGCCAAGCCTGGCAACCCCAGTCCTCTGGCTGGCCAGGAACGATCCCGCTCAGCCGTGCGGTTGGGCTGGGCTGGGCTGCACGGAGCGGTGGGGGGAGGAAGGCTGCTGAAAGGGCAGGGACTTGCCTTCCCTAGCTGGGCCTTCGCCCGCCACCCGTGCTAAGGCAGGGCTACCAAAGAGGGTGGAGAACAAGAGGACGGCGGCCGTGTGCCAGCAGCAGAGCCCGGCCCTGTGGGGGCAGCAGGCCCCCCGGCCCAACCTGGCCTGAAATGCTTTCCCCCTGCCTGGGGCTTGGCAAGCGCAGCTGAAGGGGTGACAGCTGCCATCAGTTGGTGAGGAAATCAATCAGTTTCCTCACCTCACCGCTGTGGGTTCTTGGCCTGCAGCAGGCTGCACCCATCCCCCCTCCCCCTAGGGCCCAGTGCACCCTTTGCCTTCTCCCCCAAACAGCTTCCTGCCTCCTCCCTTCCGAGCTCCCCCACTTTCCTCCTGGTCCAGCAAGCTCTCCCCCACTAGGCCTGCAAACCGGGGCCCACCCCTTCGGCCAGCGGCCACCAACCAGTACAGCGGGACCTACTGGTGGAGCTTGGCGCCTCTGACAGGTTTGGCCAAGAGACTGTCGAGCTCAGCACTTCAGCTCCCTCCCCCGCCACCCCCAAGCCTGTGGCACAGCTGCTCTTTGCTTTGCAGCTTCCTACCCGCACCCCTGAGAGCCTCCTGCTTTCTATGCAGGGCAGCGGAGGGAGAAGAGGGGTGCTGATGTCAAGTTGCCCCCTCTCCGACCCTGTCTCCACAGAGCAGAGAGAGGACACAACAGGGCTTGGGATGGAGGGAGTTTGCTGGCTGCCTTTGGGAGTGGTGCAGGGCCAGGGCAGGGATGACCCTGCCTTAGCCCCACTGCACCACTGCCCAGGAGCCACCTGTGGTAAGCCCACACCCTGAAACTCTACCCCAGTCATGAACCCCCTCCTGCACCCTAAGCTCCTGCCCTGGCCCGGAGCACTATTTTAAGCAATCTAGATATCAAGTTCATACTATCCCTTTAACATAACAGATGCCCAACATACTTCGCCAACAGTCCACACATGGCTGGGGGAGGGGCTTCAGAGAAGGGGCACAAAGGAGGCGGGGCCAGAGTGGTTGGTAGACCTTGAGTTGCACTTACATTTCATAAGTGATCTCTTGCTTTAAGAGGTTGGAGACCCTCCCCCTGCCTTAGGCTTTTCCTCCAACCCAAGAGGGGGATGGACCCCCATCTTGCACCTTACCCCCATGGCTCCCCATCCCTCCTGAACGGGCAGCACTATTGCCATAGTAACCTTCCCTCCGGCACTTCCCCCAGACTGGGGCTTTGAGGATCAAACCGGGCCCTAGTGGGAACAGCTGGGTGGGAAGGGACTACTTCGAAGTAGGAATAAGATCCTCCGGAAAAGGGCGCTTTTTCCGGAGGCTCGGGGCCAGTGTAGACGCTCTTTTCCAGCTTTTCTAAAAGCCAGAAAAAAGCGGCGGACATTTTTATTTAAATGCCACGGGGGATATTTAAATCCCCCGCGGATTTCCCTATTGCGATCTCTGAAATTAACACTGAAGTAACTACCCAGTCCAATGTGCATGGTTAGTGCCGGTCATGGGATGCAGGAATTTCACCTGCCTCATTCCAGGCTCTTCAGGAACGACACCCTCTTCCCAGCCCCTACCCGTGGGGGTTGTGCGGCCCCGTAGCAAATCAGAGGGAAGTAGGGCAGGATGTAATGTCACAAACGACCAGACGCGTGTCAGTCCAGAGAGTTCTATTCATGGGCATTTACACTTCAAACCAACCAGGAAGCTGGGCATTTCAAACGGACTGCTAGTGCTGGATTTTTAAAAACCAGAGTAGCAGGGGGGAGGAGAGAAGAGACAGGAATGCAGCACCAGCTGGGTAAGGGACAGGTAAGAAAGAGCCTTTCATCTCTAGGTCAGCCCACATCAGGCCACCCCAGGCAAGCCAAGGGCCGCCAGCATCATGGAGCTGTTCCCAGCTAATGCTGGCGAGTCGCAGTCCTCTTCCTAGCAGAGACGTCACCTCATAGCGCCTGCCCTCCTCGGCTGGCAGACCAGAGCCGGGAGAGGCCCCGGCCCGTGGGCAAAGGCACTGTGGGCAGCGCTGGAGGTGGGCACTGGCCCAGCTGCATACGTTCTGCGAGGGGGCTTTGGTCGGCCCATTGCTCTTCCCCCACAATCCCCAACTCCCCATGGCCAAGCCCCGAACGCCTCTCGTGCGTGCCAGCCACGGAACCAGCATGGCCCCGGCCCAGGTTCCCCGCTCCCAGAAGCGTGTCGTTCCACGTCTGCCGGGCGGCTGCTCAGGCACTGGGACGGGGAAGCCCATCCGCTCCCAGCAGATGCAGGCCGGGATCATCCAGCAGCTGGGGACCTGGGCCTGGCTGTGGAGGAATAAAGCCAGTTAGAGGGGAGAGGGCTGTTGGGACCCCAGCGCTAGTGCTGAGAGTACAGCAGAGGCTGCAGCCAGCACTGAACAGCTGACCAAGTGCCTTGTGCATGGGGAAATTGAGACACCCTCTGAGCATCCTGCTGTCCAAGGCAGGGCAGGGGCCTGCCCCTGGGCACCAGCCTGCCCCTGCTCCCCAGCCCTCCTCTCTGGCTGTAACCCCGGGGTGCCCAGGGACAGCTTGCATCACACAAGCTTGGAAGCACTGTGAAGAGAGGAAAGTGATGAGGAACAGGCAAGAGGTGGCTGGAAAGCTGGCAAGCTTGTCGGACCCAGCGGGTAACGATCAATGGCTCGATGTCAGGGTGGCGGTTGGTTTCTAGCAGAGTGCCCCAAGGATCTGTTCTAGGACTGGTTTTGTTCAACATCTGCATTAATGACCTGGAGGAGGGGATGGATTGCACCCTCAGCATGTTTGCAGGTGATACTAAGCTGGGGGAGAGGTAGACACTGGAGGGCAGAGATGAGGCCACAGTGTCCTACACAAATTGGAGGCTTAGGCCAAAAGAAATCTGATGAGGTTGAACAAGGACAAGTGCACAGTCCTGCAGTTGGGACGGAAGAATCCCAAGCATTGGTACAGGCTGGGGACTGAATGGCTAAGTAGCAGTTCAGCAGAAAAGGACCTGGGGGTTACAGTGGATGAGAAGCTGGATATGAGTCAACAGGGGGCCCTTGTAGCCAAGGCTAATGGCATATTAGGAGCATTGCCAGCAGATCTAGGGAAGTGATTATTCCCCTTTATTCGGCTCTGGTGAGGCCACATCTGGAGTATTGTGTCCAGTTCTGGGCCCCCCACTACAGAAGGGATGTGGACGCATTGGAGAGGGTCCAGCGGAGGGCAACCAAAATAATAAGGGGGCTGGAGCACATGACCTATGAGGAGAGGCTGAGGGATTTGGGCTGGTTTAGTCTGCAGAAGAGCAGAGCGAGGGGGGATTGGAGGTTCCAGAGAGGCTGGCGAGAGGCTGTTCTCAGTGGCAGGTGGCAGAACGAGGAGCAATGGGCTCAAGTTGCAGTGGGGGAGGTCTAGGTTGGGTTCTAGGACAAGCGATTTCCCTAGGCGGGTGGGGAAGCGCTGGGCTGGGTTCCCTAGGGAGGGGCTGGAATCTCCATCCCTAGGGGTGTTTAAGTCCTGGCTGGGCTGATGGAGTTGGGGTTGGTCCTGCTTTGGGCAGGGGGCTGGCGCCAATGCTGCCTGAGGTCTCCTCCAGCCCTGGGCTTCCTTCTCACACCAGCCCTGGCCAAACCCACA